CTCTCTCTCTCTCTCTCTCTCTCTCTCTCTCTCTCTCTCTCTCTCTCTCTCTCTCTCTCTCTCTCTCTCTCGCCGTGGTCTTCTTTGCAGGTGCGGGCGGCAGCTTCTTCAACCTCCGGATCCGCTATGGCGGACTTCCTCTCCGATGGCAATTTCGGCTATGGCGCGTAGCTCTCCCTGCGGCACACGACGGAAACGGGTGGAATAGCGGGTACCAGCTCCGATACCAATGCAATTAGATGCGCTATCTTTCACACCTCACATGCAAGCAAACAGGTGCGCAGCAAACTGGCAACAAACGCCCACTCGAAACTTAGAGATATGGTAGCCAAGAACGTAGTTCAGGTACAAGTTCACTTCAATGGTTATGGCGACACAGCACCTACACAACTCTCTGTTCGCACACACAGGATCACCCTGGATATCCCACACGCGATACTCTGTACACACATACACACACACACACGTGCTACACTCTACCTACAGCTATGGCGGCTATGGCCGCTGCTAACCTATCGCTATGGCTAAGCTCCTTCTCGCCCACTTCGTCTTCGGGCTCACTGCAGACCACCTCGCACAAATCGATGTGACAACGCTTCCGCGTGGCTTATGCAGGAATGAATGAATGGTTGGATGCTGCCCTTTGATTTATACTTTTGTAGTTCGTTGGTCTGGCCCTTTCCCATGCCCGTGGTGCACACAGTCCGATACGGTACTTGCTTGACTGGACTAGGACTGACTGGGACTGGGACTGCTGACTCAACATGGGTAGACTCCACCACTTGCCCACTTGCCTCAGCCTAAACGTGAGCAACTTCAAAAGGCCACTACTAGGACCTTCCAGAAGTCCGGGTCCTGGCCTTTCGAAGACTGTAGCAACTACGACCTTGACCTTTCAGGACTGTAGCAGCTACGACCTTGACCCTTCAGAAGTTCTACAGCTAGGACTTCTAGAACTCCCTAAGACTTCTACTCGACAGATCTAGAAATCGAAGCCCTATACCTACAGACCCTACGACCGACTACCACTTCTGCAAACACACCCAGGTCACGGGTTCAACTCTCAGGGTCGACACAAGTACTGTACACAGGTAAGGTGAGGACTGGGGATCGAGCCTTGGATCTGTATTCGCTACTACTAATAGGTGAAAACCGTTTCATAGTGCAATTATAACTCTTTTTTGTGACTCTACTGATGTTACCCCTTGTCTTTTTTTTTTTTTTTTTTTGCACATATTTGTATCTATGTATCTAGATGTTGTACCTCATCTGTATATCTTCAAGGCCCTAGCCTCACCTCATGTTAGTTTGCATATGCCTCCCTGCCGTTCAACCATTCAACTGCATGGGTGCATAATCTGCCTTCAATTCCTGTGAGGCTACCCTGCCACTCACACAGCACGGTCTGTAGACCATGCAAACCCAACCCACACATTGATCTGACAAAAATATTTGTTTTAATTTCTTACGAGACAAATTGATTGTTGACGTACTTGTTAAAACTGTTTCCATATCTTCTATCTACTTTTTTTCATAGTCTCTAAGGGATCCTCTTGCTAATATTTATCAAATCAACACAGGACTTCCCTTGGGATTGATCCATCCAAGTAATGTAAATGAATGTTTTCCCGATATAGCTGGATGCACACTGCTTCGACAATTCAGGATAGACCACACCCCTATGCTACACTTCCTCCCAACAACGAGTCTCACCGCCCTCGATGATGAGGCATATGTGAGCATAATATGCTCCTTCCCCCCCAAACCCAACAACTCTTGGTGTCACGTCTTCGTGTGGCACTGGCAGTATGTCAAGCGCAGGGTAAATTGGCTTAGCTCTGTCGGTAAGAGCTCTGCGTTGTATGATGCAGGTTGCGGGTTCAAATCTTGGTGACAAGATTTAGGCTACCACTACACGCATATATGCATATGTACCCGATGATGGGCCTTTCACATACCAGGTCACATCAGCTAGCCTACGTGAATGTATGCCTGAGTTCTGTCAGAATGGCGTTGGGCTTAGGACTTGCCTGTGTCGCTCTCTGGCCAGAACGACACCGGTGGTTCAAGTCGCTGGGATGGTGGATGTCCTGCAGTCCCTGTAACCCGACTCAGAGGGTGACCTACAAAGAGACCTGGCCCATAGCAAGGGGTTGGCTCAGGGCATCACACAGGTTAGCACCTGTTCAGTAGCGAGATGACCCCTCATCTCAGGTGCCAGGAGATTTGTAGCCCAGCTCCTTCAAATAGAGTTTAAAGGAGGAGGGTATCTGCCAGGACAACCTTGGTTATGTTGTCGATCACCGATCGGGACTCTTGCATGCCCCCTGTAACTTCGAAGCGCTATCAATAGCATGACCGTAGGAAGTATACCATTAAACCACCAGTACTTGGCTCAGCTATCGGCCTCGGGCCTTCCCCGTTAGCGTGCCAGCGCCTTCGGGGGTCGGCCAAGGGAAGGCCCAGTCGGTGCTTGAAGGCCGGGCCCCACTTTTGTCGGTGTGACACAACAAAAAGAACGGAAAAAAAAAAGCAAAAAAAAATCAAATACGAAAACAGTAAAAAATAAAAAAAAACGGACTATAGACAACAAAAAGATGCGCACGCGCGCGCGCGCGCGAGAGAGAGAGAGAGAGAGAGAGAGAGAGAGAGAGAGAGAGAGAGAGAGAGAGAGAGAGAGAGAGAGAGAGGCAGCGACCTGCACGGAGGGCCTCGGCAAACTCGCCGGCCCTCTCTCTCTCTCACACACACACACACTCACGGGCGTTTCCATTCTCCATTGCGAAATGGGAAATTCCCGCTTTGCATTTTGGAACGGGGGGGGGCGGGGGGGGAGAGAGAGAGAGAGAGAGAGGCGGCGACCTGCACGGAGGGCCTCCGTGCAGGTCACCGCCTCTCTCTCTCTCTCTCTCTCTCTCGCGCGCGCGCGCGCGCGCACTGGCGTTTCCATTGTCTATTCTGAAACGGGAATGGATCTTCTTGCGAAAGCGGGAAGATTCATTCCCGTTTTT